GCGCCGGACACGAATTCCATGTCAATATAATAGAATCATAGCACTTACATGTATGGGCGTCTTCTATGGTACATGCAGRATGCCGAAGCTGAAGAAAAAAGGGGAGCTGAACTCAGGTCCGTCCTCCCCTTTTATACGGACTGAGGTGAGGCCCACGTCACGTGGGCGTAGACTATTGGCACTTCAGAATGCGCGTACGCGCACGGGGGTACCCATCTGCGATAGCCTTAGAGGGCGGAGCTTACACGAAATAGAACAACTAGTCCATGTTTAATGCTAAGTTATTTAAAGAACTTTTCACAATCATCTTCTCACTTTCTATTATTAAACAGAGAGATGCTGACCGACTAAAATACATCCTCTGAAGTCTCGTTCAAAACCCCACCCTCTAGTTGAGTTTTATTTAAAAACATGTTTGCTTATGAAATGGGGCATTTAAATTAATTTGCATTTAGATTTTATTACTTCTGCCAAGGAGGTTACGTTTTGATAGCATCGGTCTGTCTCTCTGTCTGTGTGCACAACATTACTCAAAAATGTTTTGGACATGTAAAGTTTGATGAAACTTTCAGGGAATGTTGAGGTTGTCACAAAGAACACATGATGAAATTTTGGTGGCGATCACCTGCATGAGTGACCCTGAGGTCTTGGTGGAGGTGTGTGCTCTGCAAGTGCTTCTAGTAAAAAAAAAGTATTTAAATATTTTTGTCCTGAATCAGAGGTAATCAAATCTGACTAATCTCATCAAAAAGAGGATTAAATCTCAAAGTGGTGGAAAAACAGGCTGCTACAGTGGATTGGTTAAAACATTTGCAATAAAACATTTAGTCAAAATATAATGAACAAATATATTATTAACAGATCATTTGAATGAACTGTCTGAAATATAATCTTGAATTAGCTGAGCAGCAACAAAAACATGATTTTGAGCAAAATGCATCTTAAATTTATTATATGTTCCCTGGAAGATTTTTTTTTCCAGCTGGGAAATCTCAGTATCCAAATATTTGAGGTTTTCTTTTTTTAAATGATGTCAAGAATTTCTTATTAAAACAACCTAAAAATTCAGACCAACTATCAGAGAGTAATCCTGTTTAGGAAAACAAATCAAGACGTCTCTGGCACTGTTCACGACATCAGGATGATCCAGGCATTAAAACATAGCCTAAAGGGGACATATAGTTGTTAAATATATTTTTGTTGTGCACCTGAAGTCTCTGTGAGTGCAGAAAATTAGAATATAGTCTCTTCCGGTGTTGCGTAGATATCCTTATATTATGTTTAGGTTATAGTTTTCAATCTTTTCAGTTTTCTCTATTCTCTACAACACATGTTGTTTAACAAAAATGTCACAGTGTTTGCTGCTAAGATGCTAAACAAGGATTCAGGTTCATCGTCTTCATTCTCTGGCTCTGGGTCAGACTCTGGCTCCAACATTGTAACACTGTAAAAATAACTTGTAAGATTTACTTGAGAAAATCCTGTAAAGGATTTGCACTGACGTTTGTTAAGTAAATTTAAATGCTACAAATTCTTGTAATTTTTACTCATCATTATCTAGTAAAATTTATTAAGAATATAGTTAAAGATTTGTGAATAAATCAGGTAAATGT